ATCTGATCAAACTCATGAAATATGAACCCTTTTTAATAAAATCTGTTGGACCAAAAAGATGCTACCACGCACCTCCTGATTTTTTTTTACCACTACTGACTAGACAAGCTCTTCTACAACGCCTTGAAAAATGGTATGTGCTCATTGTGTGGAAAGTGGCTAAGTTGTTCTTTACCTGGACTTGGAACTTGCATAAAAACACTTCATGACCTTTATTGCTGTCGGCCTTGACCACACCTCTCTACCGGTATAACTGAGCTCTACTTCCTGATACCAACAATATAATTATTCTGATCTCTGTGTGTATTCCATCTAGCAATGTCCATATATCCAGGTGTTATTTGCTTGTTTCAAAACAGCGTTAGCGATAAAGAAATAATTAGATTAGCAGAAACTGTCAAGTCATTGTCCTGCTACATTTGTGTTTACTAGATTGTGCAATTTAACCACATCCCATCCTTAACATTTCCATCATATTCTCCAACCACTTGCAGCATATCCGGTTTGCACATTCTGTCAATTTCAGATTGGATTTAATCATAAAACTCGTCAACTTCTGCATCAGTGGACTGAGCATAAACTGGGATAGCTATCATATTAAAGAGTTTTCCCAAAGACTAATTGATATTATTTGTTCACTGATATTGTAATATGACTATATTACTTATTAAATTAAAAATATATATGACTATATCATTTGTTCACTGACGGACAAAACAACTAGACACAAAGACAGTTTTCCCCTCATGCCATCACTCTGCTAAACACCTAATTTCCACAGCACTGTCTTATGCCTAAAGATATCTAACCATGTAGTAGGACTGTATTACTATTATCCTTCTCATCTTTCCTATTACCTGCTCCTATTGGTATCTTATGACTATCATTTTGTTGGTTTTATCTCATGATTTATCACTTTTTTGCTTGTATGTGTACCGAGAGCTTATCCACTGGAGCAAATTCCTTGGCCAATAAAGAATATTCTTTTCTATTTTAATATTCTACCAGTATTGTTTTCAAAGCAATGTGTGCCCTAAGTAGTAAACAGTATGAACTTCTGAGAGTACCTAATTCCAGTCCATTTCAATTTGCTGATGCCTAAGAGGAAAACGTATAGTTGATTCAGTTCATTTTTTGCTATGTTGAGCTTTCCCATGCTCATGCGTCTTACATTTCTTGCCCCCACTGGGATTCTGTCTTTGCAGCTTTGGATTTTCTTTTCCCTACATGGAAACATTGGCAACTGGATGTCCCAAAGGCTTTAATCTAGCTCCACACAAACAGCATTAATACTCTGTTCGTTCTTGGTAAAAATCATCTGCCACTATATCGACTATACTGTCCACACATTGGTAAAAGACTCCTTGTGGGTCTAAGAAGAATAAGCAACCCTGGGACTGGTTGGTGACATGAGAGTTCTCCTCCCCCACCCTTTTAACTTTAACTTTTAAGTTTGTTCATAATTCTATTTTAACAGTTTTTATTTACTTTTTTTTTATAGTAAACCGCCCAGAGTATCTTAGGTGAGATGGGTGGGTGTAGAAAAGTGATCGGTAAATAAAACCCAGAAGCACTTTGCCACAACCTTTTCCACAGTTTGAAATTATACTTTTGCTGTTGGCACCAAAGTGGTCATCAACTTTCAACATTTTCCTATACGCTGCTACCCAATATAAATGTTTGTTTGCTTTAACTGGGATTACCTTCACACTTTGGGTGGCCCTGTTGGGAGTGCACTCCTGGCACTCATCCCTCTCAGGAACAACCCTATACACACTATGAGGCAGCATGGTGGGATTTGGGAACTTACTGTACACAATTACAGCAGGGCTTTCACCTAATGAAGTTTAGCATCTTATCCACAGCAATTTTCTTTTACTGTACTGTAAAATAAAAAGAGCTGCTTTTTCAGAAAGAGTAGGCACTTGTAAAGTAGGAACTCTTGGGAACCACTTGCTTGCCTCCAATAACAGTATATTGTGACTTGCACAGACTCTATAATATTCTCTGAGGGCCTCTTCCTCCATAGATGAGTTCTACGTGGGTCAATTTTTGTCCAAGATTTTACAATAACACTTTGTGTATCCACATTCTCATTAATAGACTGCAGGTTTTGATAATTTAGAGGAGCGTATTTATTCAGATGGTCTAGTTATAAGCTTCACTAGATGTATGGCAGCTCATCTTACCGTTATCTTTTCCTATGTATATACAGAGGCATTCAAATTGTTCTGTTGTGTTTCATTATTTTAACATTGGTCTACAATCATAGTGAAAGATATTTTGATTTTTTGCTGCATATTCTCAGTGGAATTTTTAAATCAAGTTTATCCATTTTTTTTGTTATGGTAAAAGAGACCATAATGTTTGTTGGAAAGGTTCCCACAAATTACAATCTCTAACCAGCTGCCTTCTCATCTTTGGATGGTTGGGATTACAGAATTACAGAAGATTAAGAACTGTAGCTCTAATGCGCCTAGAAAGCATGTTTTGGAGAAGAGAAACTTGTCGGAAAAACAATCATGCTCCTTTTGGTACAGAGCCCCTGAATTAACTGGCAGTTAATCCTCAGGTATAGTTCAAAACATAGTGACATGTTTTAATGACTGGTTGGCTAGAAAGTTGTGGGGGGGGGGGGTGAGGGTGAGAAGGTGAGTTGGATGTTTATCATGAAATAAAACACACAATGAACAATAGAAAAATCTATCCCTTGCCTTGTTTTCTTCTGCTTTTTTCACCCTCTGCGACAGCTGTTTGGCTTTGACTTCCCTCCCATCCTCCATGTATTTCATTTTATTATCAAAAAGCCCCCCCCACCAGAACTTGTTAATGAAACCATCAAGCAAACATGTTCTTCAGAAACATGTGTGTTAGGTTTGCTCCATAAAGACCAGCCTGCTTTTTTCCTGAATGAACCTGCCCAATCTTTTTAGGATGTCTAGCAAAGCCATGTGCATAGTGGATTGAGTCAGAGTAGCCAGCTACCACAAAGGATACACACACTAATTGAAATGATATGAATGCTAACCAGCTGAAATGTACCAGGAAGAGAAAGGCTGCTTTAGAAAAGCTAGAACAGTAAAAGGATGAGACAGAATTCAAAGTGTGCAACACTTTCATTTCTTCTGCATATCAAATTTAAAACTTAAGAAAGATTATATTGCTAAAGCAGCAGCAAACACTTGGCAACAGTATGTGTGGGGAGAAAAGGGTGCATGATGAACAAAGCTGTGCTGCATCATCATGACAAACCTCTGCCCCTCCTGCCAATGCCCCGAGACCTTACACAAAAGCAGGGCAGGAGTGGAGGTTGCAGCATGATGGCATACTACAACCATCATTTCGACAAAAGGAACAAGTTGCTGTTGACACCCATAAATACAGGCGTATAAAAAAGTCTGTAAAGCCTATAAAAAGCCTATAAAGTCCAAAGATCCTATATTCAAAGCTAAAGACAATATTGTAATTGAGCAGATGTTATTATACTTCCCTCATTGATCATCCTCAAAATCTTGACTTGATAGGTGTTCATGGTGCACATTTTAATACCATTTCTCCATTTCTGACTTTGCTTTTGGTCCTCCCCATTTTGTAAGTTTGGGATAGGACAGACAATCGAGGAAAAAGAAATTCCAAACCTCAGCTTCCTCCATGTCTGGGCCTGGATGGGACGGGAACCATGGTTCCACCATGCTAGAATATAATATGCTTGATTATGGTTCACTGAATGACAATTCTCTTTTACACATGCCAAACCACAAATCATGATTAAAATCACAATGGTTTGGTTCACTGGGTACCCAAAGGAAACCACGGTGATGTCAAAACGATAAGACCTGCACGATATAACCACACAAACCACTCCAAACTTGTGTCCTGACAAAGGATGCTAGGTTACATATGCACAACAACATTATCACACCCTCTCAGATACCATCTCACATAACAAACTAAACCCATACCAAGAAACTATTAAAATCCTAATCTGAAAAAATGTAGCTGTAATCCAGAGCCTGGGAGAAAGTGCTGGTGTTTAATTGGCTCACCTTTAATGCCTACTGCTGTAAATACTGTTTCCAGTAATGCCTCCTGGAAACAAAATTAATATCCAAGTTGTATCTGTTTATTATCAGAAGAAATCTCACACTTCCTAATTGGAAACAAATGCCAGTTTTGTACAATCTAATTCCAGAAGAGTCTGGAAATTTTCAGCTATTTTCATTTAGGGCTCAGACATGAGAAAGAACTGACTGTTCTGCAGTGTGAGAAAGAACCGAATTCCTCCCTCCAAGGGAGTTAGAACACAAAATACAGAAGTTCACGTAAGCAACAAAAGAAGTTGCACAGAGCACAGCAGTGAGTCAGGTCTGTGGTCTTATGGAAATTCCACTTCACGGATTTTAGGGCACAGGCAGACAAGTGCTGTAAAATGAATGGGATGGATGGCGCTTTTGGTATGACCAAAATGTGTGCTCCATTTGGTTCTCCTTCCAGGCAAATCTCAGAAATTGTGATGAAGTCACTTCAGACGATGCTCGAGCTGACCATCTGCCCCCAGCAAAGAGGACCCCAACGTTCAGCAATAGGAGGGATGGCCAATGTAACCCTATTACGACCATCGCAACGGCAAACACGTTGCGTGTCTGGGGGCATTTCCTGTTCAGGGTAACGAAAGTTCATTTCTGTCACCACCCCCCCTTCCTGATCATAATGAGCGCCTGCCCCACTTGGTGCCCACTCGCTGCGATGAACCACACACAACTCACTACTCCGAACAGCCCTGGCTTAAGCTAAGCGGGACTAATGAGAGCTGTAACGTCACGCGGGCCGTGGGAAGGCACCGCGGTGACGGACACCCGGGATTCAAATGAGGCACACAATCGCCCGTGCTTCGTCCCCGCCTTTAGCGGCAGCCTCGAATGCTTCAGCCGGTTCCAGGAAGAGAGCTGCCCACCCCACCGGCGCCCAGCCAGCTCTCCCCTCCCACGTCCATCACTCACCGCCGGGCGGCACCAGGAAACCCAGAAGGACGCAAAGACTCCAGAGGGGACTCCGGGCGAAGGCCATCGTTCTCCTCCTCCTCCTAAGGCGAGGGAGCAGCTGCGCCGCAGTGACGACGACGGCGACCCTTTCCGCCGTCTCCCTGCGTCGGCGTCTCGAAACGGGGCGTTCCTTTTGCCCGTCAAAGAGCTCCGCCCGTCGGATGTGCCACTCCGGGGAAGGGTGGAAGGTTCCCGCGTTGCGCCCGCACAGATTTCCTCCTTAGGTTTCGCTTCCCGTTTCCCGGAGATCCCGGGAGGTCGGGAAGCGACAGGATCAAGTTCATTGGTCCGGGAGGTGAAGGCACCGAGGTGTGATTGTGGCACTAAGCGTGCCCGGAGCGGCTGGTGCAAGTGAGACAGTTCGCCTCGTCTACACATGTAGACGTGACTTGGGTCGGACCTCCGTAGGCCACACTTTTCTTAGGGTGCTGGATTTGCCCATTACGTTGCCGTTTGTGGCAATGCGATTTCTATATGGTAGCCTTCGGGTTTTATCATCTCGGCAAGCCGATGGTGCTTTTCCCTAAAAACAGTGATTAAATCACCTGTTAAAACAAATTAGGAGCTAGTTAATGGGTGGGTCCAATCTGTGGTTGTCTGAATCAGGGGTCTTCAAACTCAGCCCTTTTATGACTCATGGACTTCAACCCTCAGAATTCCTCAGTCAGCGTGCTTGGCTGGTCTGCATCATGCCCTTGTCTGTAGTTAATTGACTTAAACCTGGGGTCTGCAACCTAGACAACTTTAAGACTTGTGAACTTTAGCTCCCAGAATTCCTCAGCCAGCCTGGCTGAGGAATTCTGGGAGCTAAAGTCCACAAGTCTTAAAGTTGTCAAGGTTGCAGCCCCCTGACTTACAGTAAGCCATTGCTTTGTTCTCACAGCACGCTACTATAAATTAGCAACACGGGTTGTGATCACACAAAAAGATTACGGTAATTTCTAATTGACTACCTCCTAAGTTCAGTGTTGTGTGAACCATAGCCGCTCAGTGATCTCACACTGCACTATGCCAAAAGCAATCTGATTTAGTTTTTGGCCTACATGTACAATAGTATGGAATCCAGCCAAATCCAAGTTTAATTATGACTCGAGTGCCCTGTGCGGCCCCAGCAAATTTGATTCTGGAGGTGTAGCACCAAAGTCAATGCTTTTAGCATGCAAAGCTACTCAAGTTAGTAAATACCCAAAGCAGAATATCTTGTAAACATTACTGCTCCCAGTAGAAAGCTGGCAAATCTGGAAGTTTGGCTGGCCAACGATCTTGCCCCCTCCCCCTTCCCGTTAGTGGCAAGCCCACAGGGGCTTGACACCTGCACCAGGCAGCATGGCAACCCACAAAGGTATGCCCTGGGCTGTGGAGGTTACCATTATTTTTCCGTGTATAAGATGCTGTACTAGTATAAGACGTACCTGATTTTTGAACAGGGTGTTTGCAGGAAAAAATAGTGTCTTGTACACGGAAATATATGGTAATTACTCTATGTACTGTGGGAAGAATCCAGAGAAAGAAATATTTTGGGAAATATTAAAAAGGCAGAATATATTTCCCTAAATGAATAATGGAGAAGATCTTAAAGACAGAAACCAGCCTCAGCCCCTCTTCCCCAAGCAGAAACTAGACAGAGACCAGCTTTTAGAAATGCAAATTCAATAATCCTTTCAGAAAGGTTTGAGCCTTCCAGCTAGAAACTGAAGAAATTAAGAAGACAAAACCCCCTAAAATCTACATGCTCCCACCCAAATTCTAAGGACAGGAAACAATAGGATTAACCCACCAATACCAAAAGGATACACTCAGACTCAGATCAAAGTACATGGCACTGGAAATACAAAGCCTCAAACAGGAACAGGAAACAGCCTCAAGAGTCCCAGAAGGTATAAAAACCTACCACTCCCTGCTACATATGGTCAGTTTTTCCAGAGCCATCTTTCTGTCTGGCTCTCCTCTTCAATAAACTGCAACCTTCTTTCTAAAGCAGTCTCCATTTTGTTTATTCTCAGCTTGGACTGGACCCTGGTGAAGATTTTTCCTTCAACAGTACTAATATAAATGAGAATTCTAAGAGCCTGAAGATTTGTGTCTGAAAAGATACCTTGCTAGTATACCTCAGCTTAGGAAATTTTTAAGATAGTCTTTACTGTGGGTGGGAAACCTCTATCCCAGTGGTGGCGAACTTATGTCACGGGTGCCAGAGGCAGCACTCGGAGCCCTCTCTGTGGGCACACATTGCCCCAGCCTCGCCTCCCCCCATGACCCCCTCCTCTCCAGCAGCCCCCCTGAAGGAGAGTCGTCCCTGAGCATGGCCCATGCGAAGCAGCGCAGCCAAGGACATGGCAGCCAGGCAGTGTAGACAAGACTCTATCCTCACGCCCCATCATGCACAGTTGATGCTGCAGGGCGCGGGCAGAGGGCATGACCGCCATAGCGCTGCTGGGCTGCCTGAGTGATCTGCGGCGGGCCCTGGAGGCGGTGAGTGGCCTTGCAGGCAGGCGGCGCGGGGGATGGGAGGTGGAGTGGGGGCGGGGCAGGGAGTGGAGCGGGGCGGGGCCAGTTTTTGGGCACTCGGTCTCTAAAAGGTTCGCCATCACTGCTCTATCCATTCTGATCTTGCTCAATTCTAACTAATACTGAAGGAGGTATAGCACAACTACCAAGACAAAACCTTCACTGATTTTAATCTGAAAACCATGTTCATTAATCTCAGGCTTTGTGCTAGATGTTTCCTGTAATTGTTTCCTTCATTATTAATTGGTCAATATATCAGAACTAGAACCCGATGCTGTTAATATTGTGATGAAGTCTATCCTTTGAAATTTGTATTTTTTTGCAAAGAAGTGCACCTTATACAAAGTGTCTCAAGATATCAGAAACGTATACCTTTTGTGAACCACAAAAGGATATATTTACAGTATGCTACACCCACCTAATCCTCTCCATATTCTTCCTTATTCCTAAAAAAAATTAACGTGTAAAGGAATTGTCCTCAGTGGAGGTTGCTTCCTTCAATTTTTCTCTGCTCAAATTCCTTCACTCTTCTTCATTTCTCAGAATCATGGCTGGCATAAAGGCAAAAAAATATAACATTAGAGCCTTACTTTGAACGCAGGAGAATCTTTTTTCCAGTCTGAATGTGCACTGCATTGATGCAGTCACACAATTTCACAGTAACCATGAGATAAATCATAAAACAAAGTTCAGGAATATTTCTTTATCCCATTGTTTTGCAAATACTATGTACACTACAAACTGTATGATTATTTTTTGAAGAGAAATGCATCTGTACCAGGCTCTAAGTGTTTTAATTAAATAAAAGAATTTGAGCAGTTCTCCAACCATGTGTGGTTAACCTATTAACCTAAAATCAGTTCTGATATTGCTGTTTTACTAAGCTGACAGCTTATTATTCTAAATAGGAAATCTTCATTTTGTTTGCAAATAATAATATTAAAGATTCTGACTACCAGCAAGAATGAGTCCTTACATTTAAAGAGCACCTGTCATTTCAGATCCATCATGGCAGCGCCTGTTAGCGGGCATCCACTCACCTGCTGCCCGCCACACCCCTCACCTTGTTGTGTCACTGCCGCATCACCAGCTGTCCCATTAAAATGAATGGGATTGTCGGTGAGACAACAGCAAGTTAGAGGAGGAGCCACTGCAGGACAGAGATGACAGTTCCTCTTTAAAAATTATGATTTAAATTGAATTGATTTAAATCAAGCCTTTTTACTAGTGATTTAAATCATGATTTAAATTGTGATTTAAATCGACTTGATTTAAATCAAATCCATCCTGCATTGGGTTCCCTCTGAGTTTGTTAAAGTCAGCTCTTTTGAAGTTTAAGACACTGGTTGGATTGTTTTCTTTTTTTATATATATAAATATTTTATTAGATTTTATAGGGTAGGGAAAGGATAGGGTAAATACAGATATGGGGAAGGGTGGGAGTAAGGGATTAAGGATAGGGTAGGGTTGGAGTTAGGGGAAGGTACAATAATGGGGTAACCCCCAACAATAATCTCATGCTTTAACAAGCAAACTACCGTCCGGATATACATATTGAATAAACATAGTTTATATAATACTAAACAGTTATAATGAATAGAGTTAACTATAATCATCTAGTTAAAAATTAATAAGTAAATACAATTCCTTTAAGTAAATAACCTTAATTAATAAAATATAAACTAATTCTAACTGTCTCCACTAATATTTAAAATCACTAATAGTAACTCTATTATTAACCTAGAAGATAGAGCTTAGTGAAAAACCTAAAACCATATATTCTATTTAATTTCAAGCTCTTTTCTCATTCTGTCGTATTTCTGGTTGGATTGTTTTCTATTGCTAATGTTTGCATTATGTTAAATTTCAGTATGACATGGTCATTTTCACCCAAGGTTCTGGCAATTTCAATTCCCTCTATCACTTCTTCTCTATTAGTAAGAATTAAATCCAGTATAACTTTACGTCTAGTTCCCACCTCCACCTTTTGGGTGAGAAAATTGTTGGCTAGGTTGGTTAGGAATCTGTTTAATCTCCCGCTCACTGCAGAGTTTGTCTCCCAGTTGATATCTGGATAGTTGAAGTCTCCCATTACTTCTGTGGCATGCTTCTTACATACATTTGTTAACTGGTTGGCAAAGAGTTCATCTATTTATTTTGATTGGTTGGGTGACCTATAACATACACCTATGGCAATGTCACTTTTTTTCTCTTTATATACAGATACATTCTGGAGAGATTTTATCTTTGATCATGTGCATTTCCATAGATATGTAGTGTTCTCTTACATATAGTGCAACACCCCCTCCTCTTTTTGTAATTCTGTTTCTTTTGAACAATTTGTATCCATCCATCAATCCATTCCATTCATGGGTTTCGTCCCACCAAGTTTCTGTAATGCCAACTATGTCATACTCCTCCTCGTGTACTATTGCTTCTAGTTCGCCCTGTTTGTTCCCCAAGCTTTGAGCATTTGTATATAAGCATTTAAGACTTTTATGCCTGTCCATGGGTATGTTTCCTGCATCTCCAGATTGTTGTTTGAGTTTTTCTTTTTTCTCATCACTGCCCTACCTCATTGTTTGATTTGTTTTCTTGGGATTTGTGATTGGTT